TGTCAACATTTTCTGTACATAAAAACAGCAACAGCAGCAACAAGAAGTAGACAGAAAATTGACAGAGCAACTTTCCATCCAATAGATCCATCTTCTTCATTTCTTCTTGATTGACCTGCAGGTGAGAAAAGGTTACTTTCTTCAAAATCTCATCAGAGACTATCAAACAGCTTCACCTCTGATCACACACACACTGAACTCTACTCACTCACCTGGAGGATCAACACTCAGGTACATGAAACAGATAGGCTTGTTCTTAATGACAGTCTTCGTGTGGCTGTGTCCTCTCTGGATGACACGACACTCATATGTTCCACTGTCAGCAATCATCACATCCTTCAGAATCAAAGACACGTCTCCATCCTTCATCTGTCTGTCCTGCAGATCCACCCGGTTCTTAAAAGATGGATGCTGCTCTTCAAGTACAGACCCCTCATCTCCGTACAAAAGGACATACTCATCCAGGTCAGCTCTTCTCCACTCCACAAATATGTTGTTGTTGTTTGCAGCTCGACATGTCAGAGTGACGTTCTGTCCAGACTCAGCTGTGATGTTTTTCTGTTCTGAAAGAGGAAACAACACAGAGCAGAGAGGTTAAAGGTCAAAGTACAACTGTTCACCTGTACAACTGACGAACCTCACTGTTCATCATTGCTCTATTTAAAAAGTTAAGAATTTCTGTCTTATAAAATGTTTCAGCATTTTCAATCAGGATGACTACAGTAACTTTGAGTCATGTTTACAATGCAGACTATAGTGACTTTAACAAAGAACTAAAAGGATTAAACTCTGGTCTCTGTTGATCTGATCGGTGGTATCAGAAGGAAGATGTTGGCTTGTGATTTATTTCACAGAAACACATTATTTTAACTTATTAAAAATATTTTTTAATCAATATAATTTGCTTTGTTATCTGAAGGTAATGTTGACACTTATGCATTTCAGAGAACTGGAAATATCAGATAAAGACTGTGAGCTAAACAAATGTACAGAGGTCAACCATCTGATGTAAAAACCAGCTAATCTGGAACACCAACATTGACAGCTCAGTTAAAAAGTGACCTTGCAGCCTAGACAAGCTGCAGGGTCACTTTGGTGTTTGGTGCACGCACTGCAGGTGTTTTTGAGGTGAATCGGTGGTAAAAATTTCAAATAGGACCACTGTGAAATGTCTAATCCTGTTAATAAACCTATATGTTTTTTTTTTTATTGCCATGTGTTGAGATTATCCATGTTATTTATCCATATTGTGCACACAATTTCCATTATTATTATTATTATTATTTTTTTTATTTTTTTTAAAACACAGACAACTGTTGAAAGTCCCCCTGGGGTGTAGCTTATGTTTGTCCTATTGCAGCCAACTCAGTTAACACCAGTCTGAAATCAGCTGATGAGAAGTGGTGACAAATTTTACACACTTTAACTGAAATAGTCAAACCTTCACTAGATTAAAAACAAAACATTTAAACATGAAACAGAATGTAATAAATTCAGATTTCACCTCCAGAAGCAGCTGAACAGAAGACCAGGAGAGACAGGAAAATCCAGTAAAGTAGCAAAAATGTTGTAGCATTCATCTATGCTGTGAGTTCCACTGATCAGACTGAATGCTGAAATAATTCCCAAGTAGAAAAAAAGTTTCCACTCTGCACCAAACTCCCGAGGACATTAGTTCAGGCTACGTTTCAAATGCCTTTGAAAACTCTCACCATCTGCTCTTGCTGTATTTGCACTGTGTGCCGTGTTTCATGGACAACACAAACACACTTTACACTCCTGAAAAGGGGGGAGGTCTGCTCATGGCCTACACAAACAAGCCTGAGGGTGGATGGTTGCAGGTGGAGCAGTGTAGACAATATTCTTTTTTATTCTCATATTTAATTGATTTACCAAAGAAAAAATAAACAGCAAACCCTGTACTGATCAATCAGAAACACACACACAGCGAACTTTATATTATTAAAAGGTTTTAAATAATTAAAATCACAGAAAAGATTAAAATATCTGGAATTTATGGGATTTCCCTGAATTCAGTTAAACTCGTTTAGTTTGTTTGTTCTCAGTTCTCGGCACAGATTTAATCCTCAGCCACACAGTCTCATTACTTTTCAGTCTTAGTTGTTAGTTTATACTACATATACTATTCTGGCAGCAACATACTTTGTTGTTTTGCGCTGCACTGATCTGAAGATGAATCTAAAAAGCTCACCTAAGTTACTTTACCACAAATGCAAACTTAGTTGCATTCCAACTTTATCTTTGTTTATATTCACAAAGCTAATGATCTTTTTCAAACTCACATCAAAGCGTGCCTCACAGAGTGGTAGCACATTAGGATAATATACACAAGTTTACCTGTGAGTGCAACAAACAGTTTGAATCTCATCAGCATGTGGATGCTTTCTTCACCACGACTTATCTGGTCAGGTATGATGATATTTGTGTTTTAAAATGAGGAACATCTCTTTCTACACACACACACACACACTCGAGGGAGCATTGATGCATCATGGTGAACTTTAGCTCAAATATTCTAAAAGCAGAAGTAAAAGTAAAAGGACTTGTCAGAATTCATCCTACAGCCCATTTACTCTGTCACGCTGTACTATAGACTGTCTGCTATGGCGACAGGCTTCACAGCTGCTGGTGCACACCCCAAAGATGTGCAAACAAATCCTACTTTGTCTGAAAGGCATGTGCACCTGCTTTTGTGCAAATAACGTGAGACTTTATAGGACATATGAATTGTTAGAGAAAATGTAAACGTGAGAGGGAGAGAATTAAAAAGGGAGAGCTGCCAGCTTTCTTTCTTGGCTAGACATTCATCACTTTGACTATTTGATGCAGTTCTTACATCAGAAACATCTCAGCACTCCCAAAGGAGCTTTTAAAAGAGTGAAAGCATTTCACATAACAAAATACACCAAAAAAATCAAAACTTTAAACTTTTTTTTTCCATCAAGTCAAACATGAGAAGCAGGTGAGTCACTTTACCTCTGAAAAAACCTTCTGCCACTGTTTTCAAACTTAGAACGAGTCCAGGCTCAAACATCTTGGTGGCTCAGCCCCCAATCACAATTTCATACATACAGTTACGTACAATTAATATTAACAGAAGATGTTTGCAAATGTAGTCGGCTCTTTTCCCATTTCCCAGGACTGAGCACACATTACAGTCTAAAGCAGCTTAATGACTTGGACAAGCTAATGCAGTCTTAAAATCATTCAGAATGAAAAATCACAGATTGCAATATTGATTGATTGAATCTTTATTTTGAACATGTTGAAAAAGTACAACAACATAGAATTAAAAGAGACAAATGAACAAAGCAAAACAAAAAGAAAACGAGCAACCACAACTACAAATAACTTTCATGTTCAAAAAGGAGCAGGAAGAATCATAAGCTTATTTAATCCCACCCCTTTTCCACTATCTAGTAATCAATAGACTACAGAAATACCTCCTTGCAATTACATTATATGTCATGTGTATTTTTTTTATTATTCTTTTATATATATATATGTTTCTATCTATCCATACATACATATATACACATACGCACATATACACATTTTCAATAACCCCAGTAACACCTCAAAGGATTGATCAAAGCGTTTTAGGGTCGACCCTTTAGATATCAAACCTGGGGCAAAGGCTCAGTCATGTTAATCAGAATTTTCCAAAGTAAGTTAAAGAAGTGTTTGAAGTAAAGCAGATAAGAAAAGAAACATGTAAACAGATTTGTCCTTTTTTCCTGACTCTTATTCACAAAGAGGCAGTACAAACAGTGCCTCTACCACTCCTAACACCTGTTTTTAAATTCAAACAAACCCTCCCTTTTAATGTGCAGAATCAGCACAGGGCATCGTGTACCCAAATCCCATCTGCTACACTGGATTGATCATTTTTTATCGACTCTTACCTGTTTCTATTTTTGCCTCTCTTTCTCTTTTTTCTGTTTTGATCGGGGCGCTATGAGGCTGTCTTGTGTTTATGATGACCTTGTGTCTTGTGCCCAGGAAGCGTTGTCTTTCCCTTCCTGTGAGATCTTCCCTCTAATGGCTGTTAAATGTGTCGGAGTGCAAAAGGAAAATATCTTGGCCCTGAACTCTGAGCACAAAAGAAATAACATCTGTCGAGTTATTTGTGTTGGAAAATCCAGACTGGTTTTTGAACTGCTATAAAGGATTCCTGGGAACCACTGATCATGAGCCCCGCCCAAATTATGGATGATTGTGAAATGGTGAGGCCAACTATGCAATCAGATTTTGGGAATTCTCTGAAGAAGTGATTCAAGCCATACCTTGGATATTAGATAAACCCTGTGCACTATCAGTCGTACCAGGTAATATAAAATAGGGTCTGTTTGGGTTTCAACAAATTTTAAAGGATAATTCAGACTTCAGGATTGGAAACTTTAATTTGCTTATATTGGCACTCAGTCAATATAAGCAAGCTCAGTCAGTCAATTCCAAGCCAACTCCCTGTGTTAGTCCCAAATCAAAACCTCCTTCTGAACCTAGCTAAATATCTGGGGTCTCTATTTGAATTGATATTGTACTGGTCCTGTGTAGAGGCGCTACACACTCAAGACGTTTAATCTGTTGATTCCAGTTTGCAAACACACTTTCTCCATTTTTTTCTGTTTCCGGACAAGAATTTCCTCCCTTATTCTGGTTTCTGTTACGGTTGACGCTGGCCAACTGGAGGGATGGGAGGAAAAGGAGGACCCAAGCATGGAGCTCAGCGTTTATTTACAGTGAATGGAAGACATAACAATAAATCCTCAGTGCGTTCCCGACTCCCGTGACATGTCCTTTTTCCATTGCTAGTGTTCCTTGTCTCCGCTCCTCAGTGTCTGAGCACCCTGTGCTCGCTGCCCTCTCGTCTCCACACTTCTCCTGGGGAAAATAACAAAGATGCAGTCGTAAAACACACAATGTGGCAGACTGAACTTACTAACTAGCCAAGAGACTAACGTGTAGCCACGCAATGATCCAGTGTCGGAGAGAGCTCCACCACACTCTTAAGTAGCTCCTCTGACGGGGCTTCATCAGCTGTGTGATGGTCTTCAGGTGTGGCCAACCACCTACCAGGCCTGAAGGTGCCTGTAAACAGGTGCTCCCAGACACACACACACCCACACACATACCTGCAAGCAGGGAGAACGAGGGACAGCAACACCAAAACACATATAATATAATACAAGTCCATAACTGCTCAGGGACACTAGGTCGCTCAGATCCAGGGTCCCTGAGCAGTTTCTCTTAACACCATTTTTCACATGAGCTCTCATAGATGTTCTGATTTGTGTTAATGTACAGAAAATGATTTTTTCTACTTTTAAAGAGTCAAACTTCATATTCCTGGGTTGAAAGGCTTGGCTGGAGATGTTCACACCAGAGTCAGTTTGAGTCTTAAAAATGTGTGTCACAAGCTGTCTCAAAGCTGGGAGTTCACACACAAAGTTTACTTAAATATAAAATAATGTATTACATGCACATGGAGGACGATGGGGGAATCCGCAACCAGTGAAACAATTAATCAGCATAGGAGTGATCATATACTGTACATAGAACGAGCAAAGGCCATACTAGCAGAGGTCAGAGAGGGCCCTGACATAAAGAAAACATCTGTAATTGGGTGGGATGGTGGTGGAGTGGTTTGGAATGGTTCAAATGCCAGCTGGGATTGTTTTGTGTGCTTCCTCAGGTGCTCCTCTTTGTCCCACAGTTTACACATATGCATGTTAGGTTAACTCAGGGGTGTCGAACTCCAGGGCTCAAGTGCCGAGGCTACAATTCAAATGAGCTCACAAAAAAGGACCACAGTAAATTAATAGTATTTTGTCTGGTCTAAATAATTCTCAGTTCATGCTACATTAAAATAAAACAAAAAGAGATCAAACACTTTGTTCTTTCATTAATATTCAAAAAAGATGTGTGAAGGTCTTCTTTTAGTGACAGTTTGCTTGATAAGAGCTGTCTGGTGTAATGTTCAAGTTTGACCTCGTGGTGGCAGTGTTGTCTCTCTGTTTTCATGGGTGCACCCAGCCTGTAGAGCGATAACAAAAGTATCAAAATGCTTGAGTGTTAGTGAACATGTGTTCAAAGCTTCAGTGCTTTATTGACCAACTATAGTTGTACCACAAAACAATAAACAACCCTCCCCCCCACCCAAGAAAAAAGTACCACTAGTTGGTGTAACCCAAAGATAGCAAAATACTAGAGTTTCCAGATGACACCCTTATTATAACTCATAAAATGATTTTGTTTAATATTTGCGATGTTGAGGAGGTAATTTAGCCATTTAAATCAGCTGTGATGGATCAAGGACACATCTAAAAGGACATTGCCAGGACATTGGGGCTTAAGGACTTGGACTGCTTTAGAGATTAATATGTGCAATTTTCACAGGTTTTTGTTAACGTTCAACAAATCAAAATGTGATCCATTATATTTTTATACAAATGTTTCTATTTATCTTACAACTCAATTCAGCATGAAAGCTGCAGGAAAATGTAATTTAATGTTTTTGATTCAAATGTACAACTGTTCACTTCTACAGCACCCGATTAGGGTGAGGAACAGTTTTTTTTCAGGAGGTTCAGGAAAATCTGTGTCCACAATCAGCGAAGAAGAATAAAAAGAAATGTTTGAAGGGGAGAAAAGAGGAAAAACTTTGTTAAAAAACAAAAACCCCGGAAAAGATTGTTAAAATACGTAAGACAAAAAAAAAAAGAAAAAGAAGTTGGAAAAAGTCTGAAATCCCTGTTCACAAAAGGTGAAGAAGAGTAAAAGTGAAAGTGGAAAAACAGTGTTTAAAAAAAAAAAAAAAAAAACACAGCAAAAAAGTGTGAAATGCTGCTCCAAAAATAGAAAAAAACGTTAGAGACGTGTAAAAACTGTAAAAAACAGACAAAAAAAAAAAACAACAGTAAAAGCAAAAAAGTGTAAAGCGATTGCCCAAAAAGAGACAGAATATTGGAAAATGTCCAAAACGAAATCAAAGGCTGAGAAAACTGTAAGAACCGTATCCAGAAAAGTTGAAAAAGTGAAAAAACAAGGTTGAGAACCCCCCCGAAAAAAAAAAAAAAAAAAAAAAAAGACCGAAATCTGTGTGGCAAAACGGGAAGAAAGCTGCCAAAGTCGTGTCTCTGTCTCGGGTGTGGATACAAATTTTAATTAGGGCCTCTAAGCTGACAATGAAAACCAAAAATGATACTAACTACAGTTAAACGAGCAAAAGTCAAAGTGGAACCCATCTGAAAAGAATTGTGTTTAAGGGATCAGCAGGACTAGAGAACAATACCAGAACAAGTCTGCTGAAGCCCTTAAACACAGCCTCTCAGTGGGTAAAGAGGTTTCAACTTACCGTCAGAGGCTGAAGAAAAACTTGGGCACATAAGAGCCGATGTGTCCACACCGAAGCTGAGAGAGGCTGCTGAAGTGTTTTCAGCTTCGTGTGAGGCAAAACAGACAAGCCGCAATTCCTGAAGTTGAGCGGTCCCGAGAAATTTCAGTTTATTAATCTTGCATGTGTGAGCAGCAAGCATGTATGAGACACCTCTTTGCTCTCCGCTCGAATGGCTACACTCCGAATTACGTCACTGTTCGGGGGCGTGCTCTGCGCATGTGTCCTGGCTTGCATTGCTGAAGGCAAGCTCAGCGTTTCTTCACACACACGTGACAAAAAAGTCCCAGCTGAGTCTGGAAACAACGTCACTCTGACATGTCGAGCTCCAAACAACAAGTTCATAGTTGTGAACTGGAGCAGAGCTGATCTGGGAGAAGAATATGTGCTCTTGTACCGGGACG